GGTCCATGGAACTTAATTACTAAACTTCCTGCACAACTGGCTCTATCAGCAAAGTGAGACCACACTCTAGCCTTTACCAGAAGGAAATGGGTAACCTCTTCAGAAGCAAAGATGAGATCATGAGAATCCAGAGGCAAAATGCAGAGATGATTTTACTGTCTATAAATAGATAGATTGATAGATAGATAGATAGATAGATAGATAGATAGATAGATAGATAGATAGATAGATAGATAGATAGAAATCGGTCTGACAGTGCTGAATGTGTTCTATAGATTGTCCAAGGTAGTTATCTCATTCTCACCCAAGACAAAGTCCCAAGTACTTTGTATGAACACAGGACAGATTTCTGTTTTCAATTAATGCAAGAGTAGTAGAGATTTTGTGAAACTTTTATTCAAGGTAGAAAAAAAAGTTTGTGTAAACTAACTTCTTTTTATGGTATTTGTATTGTCTTTTCTCAAATTGTTGTCCAAGGGTCTCACACCCTGTGATATTGGCAAATTAATAAGCAGCAATCTGCTTAGTGATGCAGATCTGAATCTAAGAGTATGCATTTTAGAGTGCTATAGATTGAACCCAGGGCCTCACACATGTTAGACAATACTGTATGATGGAGGTAAGTTTACCAGTAGGAATTTGCATTTCAAAATGTCATTAGATGATTATAATGTATATTAATGCTGAAGAATAAATTTCACAGGTCACAGATATACCTTTTTCTTATGCCTCACAACTAATTATATGAAGGACTGATGAGGTATGTCTTTATTTCACAGATGAGGAAACCAAAATTTAGATATTCAAGATGAAGTGGTTTTGATTTGCATTTCTTTTATGGCCAGCGATGTTAAGCATTTCTTCATGTTTATTGGCCATTCTTTTTTCCTCTCCAGAGAAGTCTCTTTTTAATTCTTTAGCCCACTTATTAATAGGGTGGTTGATTCTTTGGGGATTTGTTATTGGGTTTAATTTTTTGAATTCTAGGTATATTTTTTATGAGACCCTTGTCTGTTTTATAGCTAGTAAAGGTCTTTTCCCAATCTGTGGGTTTTCTAGTTATCTTGTTAGCTATGTCCTTTGCCATGCAAAAGCTCATAATAGCTCAATATCTATGTACATATGACCATACAAAATGATGCTAACTGAAATGAACTCCAAGACATGGAAACAACAGGTCTTTTTTTTTTTTTTTTTGGTTGTTGACCTTGTTATCTCCAATGTACTGTATCTAGGTCTTTCTTTTTATTTTATTTCATTTTTCTTTTTCCATTGGTTTATCCTTGGCAATCACTGTCTTTGATTCTGGTACCCTGTATCATGTATATACATTTATCTGATTTGGGGAAGGGAGGGGGAATAACAAAATGCTGAAACAAGGACAAAGGATGACCCATTGCAACCAAACTCACAAGACACTATGTCCAAAATGAACTTCACAACTTTGAGGGAGGGGGAAGGGGGGGTGGAAGTATAGTGGTAGGAAAAAAAATTAAAAAAGAAATTCAAGACGACACAATTTATTCATGAAAGAGGTAGAATTTGACCATGAACTTGCCTACTTTCAGATCCAGCCTCTGACTTACACTATATTAGGCTGCTAATCTAAATAAATGCGAATAATTGGAACAGGAAATGATTTGAATATGTATTTCCAAAGCATTGTTTAATTCAGTGCTGGAGAAACACTGCCATCATGTGGTTATCTGGAATGAACGCACAGCTTGTCTTTCACTGGGTATGTTCCTCCCATTTGTCCATACTGTCCTTCAATGATATATATTAAACCAGCCTTGCCCTTCACTGGTGGATTTGTAGGATCAACTGACTAGTCCTTTGCACTTTCATGATATGGATTTACTTATCTAAGGCAGGACTATAAGGACATTAGGACCATGCAGGAACCAACAAGAGTCAAGGGTTCATTGCAAATGACAGTCTAAATCTTTAGTTTTTAAAATTTTTTAAATAGGTTTAGATATAAAAGCTCAGAGAAGACAAGATTCCAGTGACGGGGAGTGGGATCACATGCCCTTCCTTCCCTAAGATCTCACATCATTGGTCAATTTTCTGACGTCACATACTAGGAACATCCTCCATTTACGCTACCCCTTTACCTTTTCTTCTAAGGATATGTTGTGATTTGACACATGATTGTGTCATTATCCTGTTAACACCACCCACCTCTTAACAGAAGGCTCCAGAAGGTAACTTCACGTATAGGTTTAGGGTAGAGGTACAACAAGCACTTATAGAATAAATGAATGAGTAGCCAAATAAAGAAAGGTAATCCTGGTCCAAGAACTTCATCTTTATACTCTTCAAATCACATCTCAAAATTACATCTGGAACCTTCCAGGATATCAATCATCTGCCTCGTCACCAAACCCAAACCTCAAGGTGGGGACAAGTTAGACATGATTTTAGAGTCCTTGGAATACCTTGAAAGTATGACATATTAGCCGGGCGCTGGTGGCTCACGCCTGTAATCTTAGCTACTCAGGAGGCTGAGATCTGAGGATCGCGGTTCAAAGCCAGCCTGGGCAGGAGAGACCGTGAGACTCCTATCTCCAATAAACCACCAGAAAACCAGAAGTGGCGCTGTAGCTCAAGTGGTAGAGTGCTCACCTTGAGCTGAAGAGCTGAGGGACAACACCCAGGCCCAGAGTTCAAGCCCCACGACTGACAAAAAAAAAGGAAGTATGACATATTTTTCATTTTTTTGTTGATAATAGCCTGCCAATTTCTTACTCTATTCTGACTTACTGGTTGTGGAACTTTAGACAAAGTAATTGACCTTTTCAGCCTTCACCCCTTTCATCTGTATAGCAGAGATGACAGGAGCATTGGACAAGCTAGACAATGTGTACTTAATATACATATGTATATGTACCATAAATACGATATGATACTAAATTTTGTCAAATACTTTTTTGTATGAGCACATCAATAAATAAGCATTTAATATATATATATATGTATTTCCTTTTTTTTTGTCGGTCCTGGGGCTTGAATTCAGGGCCTGGGCACTGTCCCTGAGCTTCTTTTGCTCAAGGTTAGCACTCTACCATTTGAGCCACAGCACCACTTCTGGCTTTTTTTCTGTTTATGTAGTACTGAGGAATCAAACCCAAGGCTTCATGCATGCTAGGCAAGCACTCCACCATTGAGCTACATTCCCAGCCCCCATATTTCCTTACTTATTAACTATTTCCCTCATATTTAACTCAATCCCATAACTCTTGGATAAGGAGGCAATCTCATCAACTGGGGACAATTCCAGAACCTGCATCTTTGAATTTGGTTTAAGTTTAGACATACAGCTGAAATTTAGAGTCCCAAAACCCCAGGAAGACATGACCCCAATATTTAGGTGCTCATCCTATTCCTACAAAAGCTCATTTTTCAGCATTGGCCAGTTCTCTTTCATTGTTTCATCTAGTCCTCTCCTTTCCCCAGGCATCTACTCTGTCCTTCCTGAGCCAAAAAACACAACAGGCCTGTGTCTAATTTCTAGAACATCGCCTTCTTGTATTTCTCCAAGTCTTTGAGGTTAAGAAATTTGAGTAGTAACTAAAATGTTAATTCCCCACAGTGGTTAAATATGCTCACTTTACTATATATCACATTTAAACAAAAAATACAACATTTAGGTTTTAACAAAGTGTGATACTACAAAGCAATAGAATACTATGCACTCCAAAAGGGTATTATATCTTAAATCATACAAATATATAAACAAGGAAAATCATCCATGACTCACTGACTAATAAATCAGCTTATAACATTATGGTATGGCCATCTTTAAGTCAGATTGTTTGTTTGTTTGTTTCTCTCTCTTTCTCTTTTTTCTTTCTTTTCCTTTCTTTTTTTGTAAAAACATGAAAATTCACAAGAACTAGCTATAACTAGTAAGATTTTGTTTAGCTAACATTTTATTTTTCAACTTTTCTGTATTGCCTGGATTTCCTAGATGACTAGAAAATGTATTGGGTGGGCTGGGAAGGTGGCTCAGTGGTAGAGTGCTTGCCTTGCATGTATGAGGCCCTTGGTTTGATTCCTCAGCAACACATAAGCAGAAAAAAAAAGCTAGAAGTGGCGCTGTGGCTCAAGTGGTAGAGTGCTAGCCTTGAGCTGAAGAGCTGAGGGATAGCACCTAGGCCCAGAGTTCAGGCCCCACAACCAGACACCCCCCCCCCCCAAAAAAATGCACTGGGTTTATAAACTGCTAGACATACTGGGGTTTATAATCAGGGGGAAAGTCATAATCTGTTAGGTTATACTGAAAATTCAAAATGACATTAATCAATAAAACACTAAGATTTCATTTTATGTTTGCACTGTTTGGGGCATGAATTCAGAATTTATTAAATATGTTCATTTGTGCAGTAACTTTTTCTTAGATGACATGCTTAATCAGATGTGACTCCTGATTTCCTGCCTTTAAGTGGTATAGTGTACATATGATTATAATGAGAATGTTAGGCAGAGTAACATCTAGCATTTTTTTTGAGTGAATGAGACACTAGTAGGTGCTTTACACACTGATCTTTAGTTCTTTTACAAAAATTGAGAGAATTTAATCCCCAATGAAAACAGGTCGAGTCTCACCTACAAGAGTGCTAAAATAAGAAAAGTCACTTTAGCCTGAAACACCAGAGAGAGCTCTTAAAGAGATAGCCTTCAAGAAAATCTTGAAAGAGAAGTGGTTCTGAATCTTTGTGAATGGGAAACAGGGAATTCAAGGTCTGGAGCAATCTAAGTGAATGTGGAGAGGAAAATCATTCACAAATCCAATTCCTAACCTGCACATGTATTTGTTACCATTTTTGGGAAACTTTCAAATAAGATAACCTTGGTTGGGAAGGAGACCAAGGAGGATGCTTGGGCCCCAGATAGAGGAGACTCTTCTAGAGTTCCTGTATTTTAGTGTTTGTTCTACGTGGCTCAGACAGAGGGATGTGAGTGTAGGTAGGATGCCATGTAGGAAAGAAAGCCTGTTTTCACTTCAGTGTTGTTTATTTAGGTAGTAATAACACATTTCATACCTATTGCTTTCTTTCTTACCTCTATCATGTCATTGAGAAAGAATGAAAAAAGCATGATGCGAGAAAACCAGTCTTTTGCACGTGACCATTTACTATCCTTTGATTGCCTCAATTTGTGGAATTTTTCTGCAATCTTTAACTTTTTATTTCTAGAGAGCCACAAGAATATTGTAACTGGTGAAATTAGGTCCAAAGCTCTGCGATTTTGTAAAATGCCATATAAATAGCAATTATTCAAGCATTATATAACTTAACTGGTATTTTCCCATACAAATTCAAAATAAATATTTTGTAATAAACCATCAATAATCTATGCAAAGATCTTGGACATAGGGACTTATTAAATTCTGTATTCAAGTATCATGCAGCTTTGCCTGGCTATTCTCCTCTCATACTGGTAAACATTGGGGAGGTAGAGGAGAGGCAAAGTACTTTTTCTAGTGACTTTGACATTGTAACAAAAGGTCAGTTTTTATAAGGATGGAGTCAGCTTAACATACACTAATGACACTGAGGCCTGCAGAGTCATGTTCGATACTAGAGCATAGCACTAAACTTTTTCTCTGTTTATACTTCTTTTGGGGAACTTCACATGGCATTGTACTTATTCTTCACGAAGTCTGTTTATCCAATTTGATTTTAAACATTCTTGAAGGCAGAATCATGAGATCTTCAACATGTATAAATACAACAGCTCTACAAAACTAACAAAAGAAAAAGTAAAATGTATCACACAAAAGCCTAGCAATTGTCTTAGTCATATCTGTTGCCTTCTGCAAACAGAACCTTTTTTCCCATTATTTTTTCTATTTATCGATTGTACATAGTCAGAACTGAGTTCATTAGCCCTCTAGGCCAAACTTTGTTGTTCATTTTCGTGTCTAGTGTTTGAAGTTGAATTTTCAGCATCTGTCTGGACCATGTCCTGAATTTTCTCTGCAAGAGCACAAAGATTGGCTTTCCTGAGACTTTTGATTAAAGTGTCAAAGGCGCCCTTCTTCCCATGGAATTGATACCAATTACGAAGCAGCTGGACTTTCTGCTCAGCTGTGTCTTGGAGATAGTTATTCTTGATCTCATCTATTTTGGCTTCGCTGATATTATTTTTCCGGACAAAATCTCTTACTTGATTTATTGTCATTTGTTCAGCAATGTTAATGATGTATTTACTCAAGTCCACATCTGAAAAGGAGAAAACAAGCTCTGAAAGTTTAGTTTTCTAAATAATATTCTCATTACCCAAAACCATGTTTATGTGTCCCTTATTATACTTAACAATGAGTTAAGCCTTAGAGATCTAAACACCTTGTTGAGGGGAAAAAGAAACAAACATAACACCAAAATAGTCTGGAGTTGTAATTCTAAATCCTGCTGTGTTCTGAGGAATTTGTGACCTGACCTGATCGTGACAGGTAACAGCTCTGTATTTTCCTATCTCATCATTTTATACAAGTTTAAAAAAATCACCTGTAATATTTCTTACAGACATAATGACTAATGATGCACAAACTTATGAGAACAGGTGAAAAGTTTATGGTCATTGTATTTCTGAATCACAGGACTAAGGATGGAACCAAGTAGAACATGTACATATGCGTTGTTCTAGAGTTAGATCTATTCATAGTTATAGCACCGAGGCTATAATTCAGTTTTACTTCTATTGAGTTACACCAGTTATAATGGTGTCCATAATTCCATTTCCATTTCCAACTGTATTTGGGGGTAGGCATCTGAGGATAAAGGAAAATTTTCTTAAGCCTGAGATTATACTGTCTTATTGCTATGTTATTTATTTTCAGCTATGTTAAAAATAATTATAGATTTAACAAACTACCTGGTAATCCTTAGTAGTAGGTCTAAGAATATCATAAACTCAAGGAAAGCAAAGCTTTCAATGTATCACTGAAATTCGTATTGATATTTTACTCAGAAATTAATTTAGTCCTATAAAGGAAGCCATGGATAAAATAAAATAATAAAAAGTCTTACCTATCCATCTGAAAGACATTGTTTCCTGGAAAGAAAAAAGATAGAAGAAAGGAGAGAGATAAACAAAAACACATTCATTTTATCATCCAGCTCTTCCTTCACTATGAAGGAAACACAACCAGCTGCTTGATATATTAAAATTAGGATATTAGACTAAGTGATTAAAAAGGGGTTTTCCAATTATTTGAGATTTGAATCTGAAAAGTCCTACCCTTGCTATAAACTAAGCAATATTGGAATCATTTTTTTTCTTTCTAAAGACAAGAAACCTGGGGCTGGGAAGGTGGCTCAGTGGTAGTGCGCTTGCCTTGCATGCTCAAGGCCCTGGGTTCGATTCCTCAGCACCACATAAGCAAAAAGAAAAAAGCCGGAAGTGGTGCTGTGGCTCAAGTGGTAGAGCGCTAGCCTTGAGCTGAAGAGCTGAGGGACAGCGCCCAGGCCCAGAGTTCAGGCTCCACGACCGGACCCAAAAAAAAAAAAAAAAAGACAAGAAACCTGGGAATTTATTGAATTGTCTGATTTACTTTTCATATAGATATATTAAAATAACTAGTAATGGTAATAATCCAAAATTTTTCTTCACTGTAATTATTACTGACATCAGAAAATGGCTCAAGATTAAATCTCTTTTTAAAAAAATCTAGCCAGTCAAGAGAGGAATGCAATAACAACCAGTTATTGTCTATCAGAATCAACAAATTCCTTAGTTGCAGATACTCTGGATAAGAAAATTATCCAAACAAACTGATCTCTCTCCGCCCCCTCGTTGTTTTGTTATTTAAAATACCTTTCATGTTAGAAATCAAAAGATTGTCTCAAAAGTTAGCTAGAGAGAGTTGAGGTTGAGGTTTGGTGCGGGGCGGGGGGGGGGGGGGGGGGTGCTTGTGAGCATGCATGGTTCTGGGTAGGCGGTATAGTGTGATAAAGGATTTTCATAGCAACCTCAATCCCTATATCATAGCCTAGGCTTTGATACTGAATCTGTGCTTTGGTAAAGTCTCTCCAGTGAGGCTATCACCAGTCTGAAACACGGATCTTTACCACATCCTCTTTTCCTCCTTAGTTGCTTCTTACAGTGTTTGTGTCGAAGCTTACTTACAAATTAGCTAACCATATCTTAATTCATTTTTGATGCTACTCCAACTTATATAAACTCAAACATTGAGCATATTTGTTTACAAGAAAGTAACAAAATAAAAGGCAAAACAAAAAGAAATACAATAGAAGACTGAATTAGTACTTTCTTTGTCTTCTCAAGAAAGCTGGGAACAAGTGGGAAAGAGGGAACAGCTGATGCTATGCAAAACAAAAGAAATGTACATATCACCCAATGTGGAAGAAATAACTGTATCGCAAAGCTCATAGAACTCATAAATGTGATAGACCGTGATAGACAATTTGCTCCATGAAAGTTAGAATGTGTTTGTGTCTTTTTTTGGGGGGGGGAGGGGGTTCCGGTCGTGGGGCCTGAACTCTGGACCTGGGCACTGTCCCTCAGCTCTTCAGCTCAAGGCTAGCACTCTACCACTTGAGCCACAGCGCCACTTCCAGCTTTTTTCTTTTTGCTTATGTGGTGCTGAGGAATCGAACCCAGGGCTTCATGCATGCAAGGCAAGCGCTCTACCACTGAGCCACCTTCCCAGCCCATGTGTTTGTGTCTTTAACTAAGCATCACTATCCCACAATACTGTGAAATTTGGGAAATTATGTAACCACTTAATCACAAAAAAATTTTGAAAAAGTAAGAAAGCTGATCCATATTTTAACACCTACTTCATTTAAGGGTGGGGATTCATGATGCCCACGATTTCCATGACATCGTCGATACAGCCAAAATATCACCCCTAAAAGATGAAAGAAGTTTCCATCAGACCTGGTCGGAAGCGTGTGAACGTTCTTTCACATTAAGAGAAGAATACTAAGGGAAGAGGACAATCTCAATGAAATTTCAAGCCCCCAACACAGCAGGAAGATGGACTAGGTTAATCTCACCCCCACAGCATCAGGCGCTCTAGAGGCAGGCCACATTTTAATTAAGTCACATTTTAATTGCCACGCCCCTGGTCTAGCATGAAACTGGCTTTGAATTAACTGTATGACCACCAACACTTCATCTCTAGCATGGTGGGTTGTCAGGATTGTGGCAGGGAATGGAAGCCATAGAACATGGCAAGTAGGCTGAGGGAGCACTTAATATCTAGAAGTCCAAGTGCACATACTCACAAATAACTCAAGTTTACACACTCAGTAAGTATTGAACTGAAGTCCGTGTGAGACGCAAGAAAGGAATCTACAAATTTCTGAGTACATTCACTGTTTAAACATCAAGTATGCATTCATAGTTAAACCAACTCTAAAACTCAAGGCAACCTGATCTTCACCTGAATGGAACAGGGACTTGTTGCAAAAGAAAGGAAACAACGGATAGATTCTAAGTTTCTGAGCTTTAGCATCATGGTGTATTTTATGAATAATTGATTTAAAGGCATTTTATCCAAAGTAATTATGATTGTACCAATCTGGGCTTATCTGATGACTTTCATAAGTAACTCTTACATGGAATGTATTGTCACCATGGGCTAACTTCAGGAGAAGGAATAATAAAATATATATATATATTTTTTGTGGGTCATGGGCTTGAACTCTGGGCCTGGTCACTGTCCCTCAGCTCTTCAGCTCAAGGCTCTACCATTTGAGAGCCACAGCACCACTTCTGGTCTTTGGGTGGTTTATTGGAGATAAGAGTCTCATGGACTTTCCTGTCCAAGCTGGAAATCGTGATCCTCAGATCTCAGCCTCCTGAGTAGCTAGGTTTACAGGCCTGAGCCACCAGCGCCTGGCCAAAAATATAATTTTTAACAGATAATTAAAAACAGAGTTGTGTCAAGGCAGAGGGGGAATCTAGAGGACTAAGTTGATCAAGTCCCCTACAAAATGCCATTCAGGAAACCATGACTTTTTTTGTACTCCTAATACATAGGACAAGCTCATAGGTTACTTCTAGCTTTTGGCCACTCTGCCACTGCAGAAAGTACCTATTCATAGACACAGTGGAAACTAGTAAGGGGAACCAAATACATCATTTGTTCTTATCACTCTCAGAAGAGAGCTGTGTTCAATAGTAAGAGATGAATAATACAACATCTTTGTGAATAGTTACTTTCCATGCCATTTCTTTAAACTAATTTATATTAATTATAAATATTCATTTATCAATATAAATAATATATAAGTGTACTGTATGATAGTATAATACTATTTATAATACTTTATTATATAATGTAATATATTATATGATAGTCATATAAATAAATATTATTTAACTTATTAAATATTTAATTTAAATGAATATAAATATTAATTTATATTAATTGAACAGAAGGAGTTAATTGTAGTGCATTTATGCATGCATGTAATGTACTCTGATTATGTTCACCTTTCTGTTACTTGTTCATATTCCCTTGCCAAGCAATTTTAACAAGTTTCATTATTCTATTTTCACACTTCCATATACAGCACTTCAATCATACTCAGTCTATAGTTTGAACAAACTAGAAACTCACCCCCCGTTACCGGAATCAAGAGGAAGCTCCACAGCCAGTATAAACTGGATCTAGAAACCAAAGCTTAGAAATTTTCATAAGAAAATAAGGAAATTTTTTAAGAATAAACACTCTCAAACAATCAAAAGCAATGAGCTTTTGTAGATATTTGGTGGTGGGATGGGAGGTGGGGGAAATATAATCATAACAATATATTATTACTTTCTGTTTTGCATTTGGTATTGCTAGTTGGTGTGCACTTCTCGATGATTCCATGCTCACATCTATAAAGAAAGAAAAAAATGATAGGGGAAATTCAGAAACTCTGGACAGACTCTTCTATCATTTTGCAAGGGTACATTATAAATCAAGGGCCATTATATTCATTTTTGTATCTCTGGCTAACATTTTTCTTCAAGTATTTCTAGGTTAGCAACTAAAAGTGGTGCAAGTTAATATCATAAGGTGGAGATTTAAGTGAAAGAGTTTCTTAAAGAAGTTTTTAAGATAAAGGAAGGTAATATAACAAGAGAAAGAATTAAATGAAAATGAAAATAAAGTTCAAACTAGTAATAAATTGAACTCAAACTATCAGAGCTTAAAATAAACTATTAAAAAAAAATAAAGGGTCAAGAGCAATTTCAAACACCTTATAAGGGCCAGGCAGAAATGATTGCTCGTGATATTACTCAGGAAAGCTAGGAAGCTAATCCCCACAGGTTGCTGCTTCAGGCACAAAGTGTTGATTAAAAGGATTCAAGGATTCCCATCTGGAATTTTCTTCAAACACCCAAACACTGGCAGTCAGGTGCTCTGAGTTCACAGCCTAGCTCTTTTCACTACTTAACTAGGATAGGCCAGTTGACTCTTGTGAGCTTGTTATTAGGAAAGTGGATATAATCCTGTTATCTACCTTAAAGAGCTATGGTGGGAAGAATATTATACCAAGACTATAAAAGTATTTAAAACTCCCACTACTATTATTAGACTAGCTCCTTTCCCCCTTTACTACCTATCCAGTCATCATGTGGGCACTCAGACATTTGACATTTGAGGTGAGAAAGGAGAAGCAAAAATAGTTCCATGTAAAACATTTCTAGCTAGGTCATGAGGTACCATATCCCTCCTTTGTTCAAACCTATTAGATGAAAATTTCCCCTAGATGAATTACAAGCTTAAGGAGAGGCAAATTTGCAGTAATCTTGAGTGTGTGTATTTACATAAAACTATATGTAAAATACTATGTCTCAAAGGAAAAGATGCTTATTTTGAGGAGTTTTTGTTTGTTGTGTTTGCCAGTCCAGTCAGGGCCTAAGCACTGTTCCTGAGCTTCTTTTGCTCACTTTACCACTTCAGCCACAGTGCCACTTCTGGCTTTTTCTGTTTATGTGGTACTGAGGAATTGAATCCAGGGCTTCATGCATACTAGGCAAGCGCTCTACCACTAAGCCACATTCTCAACTCCATTATTTTGTAGTGTTAAGGAATCAAACCCCAAACCTTGTACATGCTAGGTAAACAGGAGCTCTACCCAAAGCCCCACCACAAACACTTTTACAACACATATTACCCAATCTTATCTCTACAGAAATGACAGAGGACACTCTGGAGAACAGAACACCTGGATGGAGGGTAGAAAAGACTGAGAAGCAAGCAGGGCTGGATAAAGAAGGCCCTCAGTTTGCATGTTCTAGAGTCTGGTTTTCACCCAAAGGTAGAAAACTTGATTGAGTATATCACACGTGTTTCTTTTGAGTGATTGGTCTAGGTTGAGCAGATCGCCAAATTATTCATCAGATGCACCAAAAAATCTAATTTGTTCTCTTTGCAACTACTGTTCCATGCCTAAAATTTGCTCTTCATCTATGTGTACCTGCTACCATTGTTTCTTTTTTTACTCAAGACTCAAGCCACATATGTTATCTTCAATCTCCTCTTTCAGACAGGATTGAAAAGTTATCTTGGATGACTTATAATACCCTGGCCACACATTTCTTCCTGTATTTGCCACATGGTGTTGATATGCAATGACTCTCTTTTTCTTGTTTGTATTTGACTCTAGAATTGAGACCTTGATGAGAGAAGCGTGTCTCATATTAGTTTGAGCAACCAGCATAGTGTCAAATGCACAATTAATGATCAGTGTCAATAATGATCAGTGTCAATAATGATCCGTGTCAATAATGATCATCATCATGGTCAGTGCTCAACGATGTTTTTAAATAGAAAGATGATCATCTAGTTGCTTGGAGGAGAAAAATAAAGACTAAAACCTTAATTATTGACTTTCAGTGTGACTTCTCTCTAGAAAGGCAAGGTCTTCCAAAGTATGAAAAAGTAAAACTTACATGGTGCAGGGGTCGCAGTGATCACATCCAGACGTGTTACAATAAAAGTTTGGTTTGCATCTGCACTTGGTATCCTGAGTCGGGGTACACTTTGTTTCTACTTCTAAACCTATAAAACCAATATTTAATTTAATAAATACAGCAGCTAGTTATAAATGAACTGTGAAATAATGGTCAAGAGCTGCATGGGATTTTGAAATCTGCTTATTATCATGTTGAAATGTCCAATAATCATTGACCAGAGTCTCATGTGGATAGGCAATCTTGAAACCAGCACTGCTTCCACTGCTGCTTCAATGGTTCGCCTGTTCCTGTAGTCTAGAGCCTTGCTACTCTATTGGGTGGCCCACAAACCACCAGCATCAGCATGACTCAGAATGCAGCATGTCAGGTGGTAACCGGCTTTAATCAGACCAATGTTAAGGCCTCACTTAACTTAAGATTCGGATCTAATTGCTTAGAGCTGAGATCTAATTACTAGTGTTTGTAATAGTACCCTAGGCAATGCTAATGCACAGATATGGTTAGAAACATTGTTGTAAGCAGGGTACTTGTGGCTCACACTTGTAATCCTAGCTACTGGGGAGGCTAACATCTAAGGATTGTGGTTTGAAGCCAGCCCAGGCAGTGAAATGTCTGGGAGAATCTTCTCTCCAATTAACCACTGGAAAACCAGAAGTGGTGCTGTGGTTCAAAGTGGTAGAGTGCTAGCCTTGAGCAAAAAAGTTCAGGGACAGTGCTGTGCCCTTCCCCCCAAAACAGACCAAAAAAAAAAAAGAAAAAAGAAACATTGTTTCAAAGCCTGAATAGGGCCAAGCAAAGCTTTAGGTACTAAGTTTTCATCATGTTTTACAAAAGTAGGAATACTTTCCATGTTTCAATCTGGGCCTTCAGAATAGATCAAAATATCCATAAAATTCGGGTTTGTAAGCAGAATGATGAAGATGAATTAGATCCCCAAAGATGAGAGCATCATATCTTTGGTTTCTCTATCTGGCTATGAACAATACTATCCTACAAGCATAAATTGATGCAGTTAAAAAAACAGATTTTGCAATGGCTTTTCTGTATGCCAACAATGAGAAAAGTGTGGCTGAAATTAGGAAAGCAACTCCATTTGTAATAGCCCCACAAAAAATAAAATACCTAGGAATTAACTTAACTAAAGAAGTGAAGGACCTCTATGATGAAAACTTTAAAATCCTGAAAAAGGAAAACAACACAGAACTTAAAAAATGGCAAAACCTCCCATGCTCCTGGATTGGAAAGATTAACATCGTGAAAATGGCAATACTTCCCAAGGCTATCTACAAATTCAACGCAATACCTATCAAAATTCCACCCTCATTCTTCAAGGAAATAGAAGAGGCAATCCAAAAATTCATATGGAACAATAAAAGACCCCGAATAGCAAAAACGCTCCTCAACGGAAAGAACACTGCTGGAGGAATATCAATACCAAATGTCAAACTCTACTATAAAGCCATAGTAATCAAAACAGCTTGGTATTGGCATAAGAACAGACCTCAGGACCAATGGAATAGAATTGAAAACCCAGAAATGAACCTACAGACCTATAGCCATCTAATCTTCGATAAGGGAGCTAAAACAATAGAATGGAAGACAGACAGCCTCTTCAGTAAATAGTGCTGGCAAAACTGGTTAACTACATGTAGAAAACTAAAGCTAGATCCTTATATATCACCCTGCACCAGAATCAACTCCAAATGGATCAAAGACCTTGAACTCAAAGCAGACACTCTGAAAACATTACAGGATGGAATAGGAGAAACGCTGGGTCTCCTTGGCTCAGGCCGAAATTTTCTGAATAGAGACCCGGAAACACAACAAATCAAAGAAAGGTTGGACAAATGGGATTGCATAAGGTTGCAGAGCTTCTGCAGGGCAAATGACATAGCTAGCAAGATCAATAGAAAGCCCACGGACTGGGAGAAGATCTTTACTAGCCATACAACGGACAAGGGTCTCATATCTAAAATATACTTGGACCTCAAAAAATTAAACCACCCAACAACAAATCCTCAAAGAGACAACTGCCCAATAAGTAAGTGGGCGAAAGACTTAAAGAGAAGCTTCTCTGAAGAAGAAAGAAGGATGGCCAATAGACACATGAAGAAATGTTCAACATCCCTAGCCATAAAAGAAATGCAAATCAAAACAACATTGAGATATCACCTCACTCCAGTTAGAACAGCAAAAATCAAGAACTCTAACAACAACAGATGCTGGAGGGGATGTGGACAGAAAGGAACCTTACTTCATTGTTGGTGGGAATGTAAACTTGTTCAACCACTTTGGAAAGCAGTATGGAGGTTCCTCAAAAGACTTCACATAGAACTCCCCTATGACCCAGCAATCCCACTTTTGGGCATTTACCCTAATGTTTACAAACAAGACCACACTAAAGCTACCAGCACAACTATGTTTATTGCAGCTTTATTTACCATAGCTAAGATATGGAACCAACCCAGATGCCCCTCAGTAGATGAATGGATCAAGAAAATGTGGTATATATACACAATGGAATTCTATGCCTCCATCAGAAAGAATGACATTGCCCCATTTGTTAGGAAATGGAAAGGCTTGGAAAAAATTATATTAAGTGAAGTAAGCCAGGCCCAAAGAAACATAGCTCCCATGGTTTCCCTTATTTGCAATATCTAGTATAGGTATGAGTCAAGCGGAAAAAGTCAGAGAATGTGATGTTAGGAAAACGAACCCTCAAATATGTATTTTAATGTTTTTGTTTCTTTCATGCATGTGTTTCTAACGCATTTATAAGATTATTTCTTTGTTGCTTTGTATGTCCCTCCCCCACAGTGTAACCCTCGCTTTCACTATATTTGATGTCAGTATAACATGTGGAGGAGACGGGGACAAACAAGTCATTTAAGGATTCAGGTGGACCTGTTGCAACAATGAGAAGTACAAAATGTCATGTCAAAACCAGCTTTACAATGTCGGTGTGTGGGGGGGAGGGGGGTATGATTGGGTGGGGGGGAGGGGGGAGGCTGGGAAGGGAGGTGAAGAGTAAACAAAGGAGGAGGCTGCAATGCTTGGTAAGAAATGTATGCATTATCCTGCCCATGTAATTGTAACCCCTCTGTACAGTATGTTCTCAAATAAAATAAAATTAAATTTAAAAAAAACAGATTTTGGAGTTGATTATAGGATTCATATGGTTGATATTAAGTCATTTGCTGATTTATAGGGTTGATATTAAGTTGCTAGTGTTCATATAGGAGAATGCTAAGACTTGACTTACAAAAGCAATTATTAGCACTGCACCTAGTCCTCCATTACCCAGTTAGTCCCAGGCAGCTCATTCCGGTAATACCAACACCTGAGAAGCTCTCCACTTAAATTACAGTGTAAGTCATTCTACTTGAAGGGCTAGGATTGGTCACTTTTGGTTGCTTTCTTAGGCACCTACCATGTCCTCCGTCACAGGATCCACATCTTCTGCACTTCGTAGAATAATGTTCTTTGTCTGTGTATTCCTTTCCTTCTTGGCAGGGCTCGCAGACCGGTTCCACCCTATTGTTTGGACAGTTGGCACATTTTCTGGTGCCTGTCAGAGACAAAAAAAAAAAAAAGAAAGAAAAAGGTAGATTTTGAAGCATAGGAAACATACAAGAAATGACATTAAAATTCTGATTGTAGGTTTTTATTTTTTTCTCTGTTTGAGGCTTGATTCAGGGCCTTGCATTCTTACTTGCCTTTTTCACTTAAGACTGGAGCTCTACCACTTGTGTCACTACTCCCATCTCGAACTTTTTTCTGGTTAATTGAAAAGAGAGTGTCTTGGACTTTTCTGCCCCAGCTAGAGTCAAACTGCCATCCTCTAGTAGTATCATCTTCCTGAGTAGTTAGGATTACAAGTAAGAGCCTTGGCTGCCTAGCTATAACTTTTGTTTTTCTTCTGGTACTGGAGCTTGAACTTCAGCATTTGGGCATTGTCCCTTAGCTTTTTCACTCAAAGCTAGAATTATTATTACTTGAAATACATGTCCACTTCTGGCTTTTGGTGCTTAATTAGAAGTAAGATTGGCATGGACTTTTCTTCCTGGGCTGGCCTTGAGCTGGAATCCTCCAATCTCAGTCTCCTGAGTGGCTAGAATACAAGCATAAGCCATTGGTATCCAATTACAACTTTTTAATATCTATTTAAATCAACAGTCTTGCCATCACACAATTTGTGTTCAAGTGCAAAACAGGTAGCACCAGGCTTACAAACATTTATCAGAGCTCTAAGTGGATAGATCATGGATAGGTCATCTAGAAACTGACCCAACCACCCAGCATTGTTTAGGAGGGGATGCTTAGGAGAGGATTTCAGATCTGAAATCAGTTCATGTTTCAAAATACAAATAAAAATGTAAAAAATCTTTTAAATACAAATTTCAAAATCTGTTGCATTTGTCTTTTCCAGTTCATCTGGTTTTTCATCTGCAAAAATACAAGTATATTTTTAGGCATCAGTGATAGGAAAAAGTTTCTGTTAGAGTTCTTATTGAAGGCAAGTATTGAGACATATCCTTTATGAGTTGAAGACCCTTGTCATCCAATCTCTGTTGTTAGCATGATATGTCATAGATAGTTTTGAGACGATAAGCTTTTATACTCAGAGGAGTCTTCTTTTGTTCCTGAGAAATAACATACATAATCCTCTCATGTCAATGGTATATATGTCATTTATAAATTATACCTATCTAGATCCACACCAAAGAATTTGTAAAAAATGAATAAAACTAGTCTTTAGAAAGTAATTTCAGTTTGTTTTTTCTTCTGGTTTTGTTATATACTATAGAAGAACCAAAAGAAGTAAAAATATTGAATTCATGATTACACTTTGCCACCCTTGCCGATTTTTTCATTCTCATCTCTGGATGTTTTGTGTATCTTACCAGGTGGACATGGAGGACCACAGGACTGGTCCCCAAGCTGCTGGCCTTCCTGGCATCGAGTCTCGGTTTTAGTCGCATTTGTCCTCAGTTCAGATTTGGTATCAATAGCTTGGGCAGTTTCTCTGGACAAAGATCCAACAGTAAAGGTAAGCACCTATAGAAGAAAAGAATGAAAAGAACTTCACTGATTTCTGAACCAAGCAATTTGAGAAACAGCTGTCACCCACCCCACAAGCTTGGATGGTTGGATCTGCTGTGGAAAGGCCAAGTTTGTAGATAGGCTCCATTCTCCTGCTGTTTTATTACCAAGAAAGGAGCAAACAGACCCCCAGTGCAGCTGTGACCCCGGACTCCCTAAGCCACACTATAAATCCAGCATGTGTACCAGGAGCCAGAGCTCTCCAAAGGGAGGAAGAGGGACTGCCATCACTTACTTCTCCATGTTTGAGTGTAAAGTTGCATGATTCCCTAAGACTTAGCTTCTTGCTGTACACAGTAGAAGTAACTTTTTCTCATGGGTCTGTGATGATCATTAAATGGATCAATGTGTTTAAATCTCTCAGTAGAGTTACTGAAATATATTAAACTATTGCACATAATAACACCATAAATTTTCAGTGAGGGCTAGCATAGTCCAGTAGAAGAAAAGAAATTTCAAAACAACTGTGGTTTGAATCCCCCATTCTGCTAAACAATGCTGTGACTCTGGGTGAGGGACATAACCTCCTTCACTCTCTATTTCCTGATCTGTTAAATGAGAAGAATATTTTCTGTCTTAAAGGATTGCTATGAGAATTTTTTAACGTGATAATTTTCATCAAATCTATACTTAGCTTATAGTATGCCTATTCCTTTCCTTTTAATGCACAACTACACAGTCAACAGTTTTGATTATATCTTCACTGTTATCCAAGGATACAACGAGAATCTCACTAATTCCAACCCCATTTTTTTTTACCATGACTCTAGATTAATTAGTTCACAGAACTAATCTTTAAATCTATTTTTCCTTGCATTCTTCCATGGGCAACCCCATAGCTCTGAGTAATGTTGATTGAAGCATATCTTAATAATTGACTTGTTTAAGATCACTAACTAGCAAAAGAAAGGCTGAGACTTGTGTATGTTCCCTAATTCCATTATGGTGTCCTTTCTACTTCTACTGTACTGGAAGATGGGTGAACTTAACATAAAATACCTTCTATATTAGGTTCTATATTTGAATAATTCTATGCAAGGAACAATGGGAAGAATTGAGGCTGCATATAGTGCCTTCACTAATAGGCCACCGACAATACAAACCAACAGAGATTTGCAAAGCTAACTTCTAATTTTACCAAGATAGGTATATTCATTTAAGTGGAAATGCATGTTAAATTTCCAAAATCAGATTTGAGATATGTAATACATTAATAATGTGGAGATGTTTCAAACTTTTGCTTGCTTTTTTGGTATTAAGGATTGAATTCAGGGCTTGATTTATGGTATCTATCTGTCTGTCTATCATCTATCTATCTATCTATCTCTTTTGCTTTTTTAAAAAACAGACTGGGAATTTGACTTAGTGGTAGAGTGCTTGCCTAGCATGCATGAAGCCCTGAGTTCGATCCCTCAGTACCACATAATCAGAAAAAAACCAGAAGTGGTGCTATGGCTCAAGTGGTAAAGTGCTAGCCTCGAGCAAAAAGAAGGTCACAAACAGTGTCCAGGCCCTAAGCTCAAGCCCTAGGACTGGTGAAATAAAAACAAAAACACAGAGTTCCGGGAAGATGGCGGAGGAGAAGCTGGAATCTGAACAAGCTCTTGCATAGAAAACAGTTTCAGAGTTCCAGTGAACAGTCCCAAGCCAGAGAATCACACCAAGTGTGCCATCACAGGACAGAGAGTTAGTCAAGAGAGGGGAAGCCAAGCAGACACATCTGAGCAGCTGCCGCTGCGGCGGCAGGGTCGCAGCGGCGACCACCGCCGCGGAGGCATACCTGAGACGCAGTCCTGGACGAAGGAGCCAGACGCAGCGGACGAGCGGATTCTACTCAACACCAGCAAGAACCGACAAGGAGCGGACAACTTCATCCTGCACTTTGCAGACCAGAGACGACCCGGGATCCAAGACTCCGCGTGAGTAGAAGCCCCACTTCCTCACTCCTCTGGGAGCAGAGGAGGGAAGGCCACCCCTCCCCCCCCAGCACCGGTGATCTCCATCTTGGATACCGACAAAGCTCGGAGGAGCGGCTAGCTCCAGCTCAGGCCTTGGAATAAAACGAGTCATTTAGCAGGTCACAAGAACTTAACGGCGAAGTGACCTCACAGACTCAGTTCCATCCAGGGAAAAGTCACCCAGCTCAGGCGCCAGCCATTGGAGTGGCTCTCCTCACCGGGTAACCAGAGCCAGAGGCTGCCCCGCCCTCTAGCAGCCACCACAATCAATTGAAAAACAGAAACCCTGAGAATGGCTCCAGGCTGGGTGCTGTGAGTTTTTTTTCACAAAATAGCCCCAGGGAAAAGCTACTGTTCGTTGAAAGGCCTCAACTCTACCCAGAACCTAGCCTCATCACTGCATCCCCCTCTTTTGTGATTCTCAAAGCAGATCACCCTCCCAGTAAACTAACCTGGGAGGGGGATCTCAAAAACTTGGATAAAGCAGAGCATTTTTCTGCTTGTTCCAACAAACTGACTTAAGAAACCAATCAAGCCACAGGACCTCAAGCTGACCAGAGACTCCAACCAGACTCTGGTTACAGACAAAAGGGAGATACAGGACTCTTCCCACCCCACCCCCAAAAAAAAAAAAAAAATCAAAGAACTTTTTTTTTTGTTCTTTTCTTTTTTTTTCTTTTCCTTGTTTTGTTTTTTTTTCACTTTTTGTTACCTTATATATATATAAAATTTTTTTTTGCTTTTCTAAAACTTTTATTAATCTTTAATTTTTGCCTCTTCTGAAAAAATAATTGTTTTCCATTAACTTTTTTTTTTTTCTCCTCTTATAATTTTTATTTTAGGAATACGTGAATGTGTGTTTTCTTTTCTTTTCTTGTCTTCTTTCTCTTTTTCTTTCATTCTTAATTATCTTTTTGTTTTTTTTTCTAGCTCTACTGAACTTCTGATCTTTTCTTCTCACTTTCCTATCCTTTCCATCTTTTCCTCTTTGTTCATCTGTATGTGACTTAACTCTTGTCCTGCACATCCTCAGATAAACCCGTAGTTAACCAGTAGACCCTATCCCCCATTGTGTACACACTTAATCCACAAACTTATTACTCAATTCAAAACCTCTGAGACTTAAATTCATTAATAGCAGTACTACCTCTTTATACCTATATAATATTTTAAGCATTTTTTTTAAAGTTTTTCTCATATCCTCTATGTCCCTCCCTTTCTCTCAACATATTCATATTCCTCTATAAATAGATGGTCTTTTAATCTCTAAAATAAAATTAATTTTTACGTTTCTATTTTATTTTCTGGTCTCTTTTCATTCCCCTTTCCCTTTCTTCTTTTTTTCTCTCTCTCTACTTACATCCTACCCAACCTATTTCCTGCATTGTGATTAGGACATAGTTAACTCTCCCTGTGCCTCCCCACACCAATCTATTCCTATTTTTTACCCACATCTCTCCCTAACCCTAATAATTTCTGGTTTTCCAAATTCTTCTCTGCGGTTCGAAGTCCTTTAATATATAGTTGTTTGATGTCGAATAGATGTATCTGTTGAACTAGATTGTATCTGTAGACTATTGACTGTACAAATGCAAACTTTGGTTGATGGTTGCCTTAAGATAGTGTTCTAGCACAAAACTGGTGCTATCTTCATCTCAAATGGGCAGAGTAAGCCGGAAAAACACAAGAAAAATGGCAAATTCGGGTATCTCAATTCCCAATCCTGATAATCAGGGGTTAGAACAGATAATGAATAATCCAGAGGAGAGTTCCCAAACAGCTCTACAAACACTGCTGGCAAACATGATAAATGAAAAGTTTGACAACGTACAAAGGACTCTGTATGAGCGTGATAGGGAGAGAGAGGAGGCATCCCAGAAGTTTATACAGGAATATCATAAGCGTGAGGAAGCTACTCAAAAACTGATACAGGATTTGCGTGAACAACTTGAGAATACTCAAAGAGAAAGAGAGGAATGGCGTGAGCAGGCTGAGAACACTCAAAGAGATCTGCAGGAATCCCACGAACGGGAGGAAGCTAATCAAAGAGTAATACAGGAATTGAGAGACCAGGTAGAGAACACACAAAGATCACTAAAGGCATTCATGGAATCCATTAACAAAGAGCTGAAGGAAGTCAGGGAGACCACAAAGGGAATGCTGAATGGAACCCAACAGAAGGAATGGGAGCCCAAAGAAACCATAACCAATCAACTAAGTGATTTGAGGACAAACACTGAACACCAAATTAAGGAAGTAAAGAAATTCATACAAGACCTAAAACAGAGCTTCAACAAAGAACTTGAAGCCATCAAAGCTGACCAACTAGAAGGAAAAGAGATAAAAAACAAAGTAGAGAGTCTTGACAGCAGGTTAGACCATGCAGAAGATCGAATCTCAGGGATTGAAGACAGCCTAGATATTATAGAGAAAGAACATACAACCATCCAAGACAAGTCCAAGAAATATGATAGATCTATCCAACACCTGGAAGACACCATCAGAAGGCCTAATCTAAGGATAATGGGTGTAGAGGAGCACCTAGAAACAGAAGTTAATGGTCTAGGAAATCTGTTTAACAGGATCCTAGCAGAGAACTTCCCAAACATGCAAAAAGATAGGCCTGTCCAGATACAAGAAGCCTTTAGAACCCCAAATAGACCAGACCAAAATAGGACATCCCACCGTCACATTATAATCCACACAGGATCAACTCAGAACAAGGAAAAGATCCTTAAAGCTGTCAGAGAGAAAAGGGTAATCACCTATAAAGGGAAACCAATTAGAATCACCTCAGATTTCTCAGCAGAGACAATCAAAGCAAGAAGAGCCTGGAATGATGTATGCCATGCCCTAAAAACAAACAACTATCAACCAAGAATACTGTACCCAGCTAAACTCTCCTTCATAACTGAAGGCCAAATAAAAACCTTCCATAGCAAAGAAAAATTGAAACAATACATCTCCACCAAACCAGCCCTACAAAAGATCCTTAAA